GCTATTATTCTTCCAAGGTCTACAGCTGATTGTGATATTCTTGATTTTATCGTTAAATTATATCATGTAAAACCCAGAATAATCAGAGAGATGCAAATATCATTTGGGTATGACTGGAGTTCCAGTCACCTCGAGGAAATCTGGGATAACTTTAATATTTTGTCACCTATTATAAAGAGAAATCTATATGAATTAAACATATACATATATTTATATATATATGAAAGTCATATATACTTATGACTTTCAACTTACTATAGCTGAAGTTTATTTCTCTTCAAACAGAACATTTGAACGTACCAATGTACATTTATACACTGCAACAATCTCACGGTGACTTTAAAAGACACTGCATTCCATCTTGCTTTGGAAACAAACTGTGTGGTTATTACATCCACAGCCTGAAATGTCTCATCAACAGGTTATTGTTGGTGATGGGGAATTCCAGGCTGGCAGGTGGGAGAGAACAGACTGGGAACTCTTTCATCATGGCCCCCAGGTTGCCATGATGGCTGTGGCTTGAAAGAATTCTTTGTTCTTTGTCCAGGCTTAGCAAGCACTTGGGGACTTTTGGTGACAGCTGGTAGGAGATCAGAGCCATGGGATTCTAGCTCTGGACAGCACCTTAGGAGGTGGTTAGGCAGGGAGGTTAGGAGCATGGGCTCTAGCAGAGGACAGTGTGGGTGTGGGTGTGAGCTTGAACCAGTTATCTTTTCTATGTCTAATAAAAAAGGAATAATAATCCATACCTTACAGGGGTGTTGTAAGGAGTTGATAACAAAGAGCTTAGCATAGTAAGTACTGGACACACTGAAGTCGCTATGAATATCAGACAACACCTCATTTTAAAGAGGAGAAATAGAGGTTCAAAGTCCCAAGTTGGGTCAGTGGCAATTCCAGTGTTGAAAGGGTACCACTGCTGGCTCCTTCTAGCTCCTCCTAGACCTTTGGTATTACCTGCCCTACCACAATAGCTCATCAGATCAGAAATGGGAGAAGATGACAAGGTGATGGCTGAGCAGATACAAGTTCGCTTTCTTTAATCCCTTCCCTAACCACTCCTTTCTAAATGTCCCTTATATCTATGCCTCCCTTTCTATTCTGTTACCACCCTCGGTATTTACAGTCAAGATTTTGTCAAAGGATGTATTATCTTCACTTAGTCATGGCAATTTTTGAATGCTCACAGTTTGATAAACAGAAGGTTAAAAAAATTTTCTTTTGCTTTTTTAAGAAAACAATTATAATTGCATGAAAGGGCATAATACCTTTGACTGCACTGTCTCCTTGCCTCTATCACAAACATTGATGCTACCAAAAGAGTAAGCTGTGTGCTGCACTGGGGCACAAGTGCTACATGCATTGTATGGGCAGCAGAGTCTGACAAGGTTATCCCTCAGATGAAGCTGATGTCACCTTGCACGGTGTCCAGGCTTCCTGCTCTGCGCCTTGCCTATCACTCCTGGGTCAACGTTTACCGATTCCCCTTTGGTTTACTTTTTGGTTATAAACAATAAAAATAAAGTAAATAATCAATAAGGCTTAATATAAAAGATAATAATTAAAAATACCTCAGGTTGTTTCTAATCCTTAATCTGTTGTACATGTTTTTTGATTTCCACTCCTAAATATAGTAACTGCCTTTTATTGAGTGCTTACTGCGTGTCTGGCACATTACTTGCCCAGTGTCACCTGATCAGTAAGAAGCATGGCCAGATTTAAACCAACTTAGCCTAAGTCTGAAGCCTGAGTTCCTGGGCTTTCCTTTCATTTGCCTTTGAAGATCAGATGCCCATTCATTATTGAAGCTGTTCCTAATTTATAAAAATCAGAAACAATCCAGATGTTCATTAATTTGGGATTGGTTAAATAAGTTAGGACAGATCTATATATTAGGATAATATATACATACATAAAATAAAGATGAAAATTAAAATCCATTGACATGGCAACATGAGAGATTATTGAGTGAAAAAATGTACAAATCAGCACATCCAGCACATTACAAAATCCCACTTTTGTGGACATCCCTGTCTCCCTCCCATATTTACAATAAATCTCTACCCAGAGAAAAAGTCTGGATGGACATCCAATAACATGTTTAACAATGTGATTACTCTGTCTTATGAGCTGAATGTTTGTGTCTCCCCGTAATTCATCCCAAACCCCAATGTGATGGTGTGATGGTATTTGGATGGGACCAGTGGGAGGTAATTAGGGTTTGATGAGGTCATGAGGGTAGGGCTGATGGGATTAGTGCTCTTATAAAAAGAGACACCAGGGCGTTTTCTCTCTGTCTAAATGCGCACATGAGCACACAGCGAGATGGCAGCGCTGTTTGAATGTCCCTCTCCCTCATCTAACCCTGAAGTATACAAAAGCAAGGGGACTATTGATCCATCTTTATAGCTCCAGTCACTACAACAGTTTTTAACACTCTGTATGAGCTCAACGACCACTTTTCCAATGAAGAAAAAAGAATAAAAAATAATGTCACACATGCATATGCCTGAGCCACCTCTGCCTATTCTGATGTGGTTGAATTCAGTCCCCAGTAAGGGGAGGAGTGGAGGTGAGAGTTGGGATGTTTCTCTTGCTGTCCAAGGAGAGAAGTAATTATGCTCTCTGAGAAGCCACAGAACGAGGAAACAAGGAACAATTTAATTTAAACTCATAAGATTTCCAACACATCTTCATGCTTAACCTTGGTCATTATCTGCTTCTACTAAGGGGGCTTCCAGCTTGGCCTTGCCCACGACTTCCCTCAGCCTCAGGAAGCCCAGCAACAGCCTCAGCATCATTCAAACACAAGAGTTGAAACAGGTGTCTTTTTACTAATTTGTTTTACCATGGATAGAAAATAATAAAACTATTCAAAACACTGACACTCTGTCTAGGTGCTATCGCCACACGAACTAGTCACAGCAAAATGACATCAAGCAGACTGTTGTCTTCTCTACTTCAAGCCAGTTAGGCCTAAGAGTTACCATTGGTATTACCCAACCATACTTAGCATCCTTCACATCTGCACACGTGTATTTTTATATTCCATGTCATTTATATGCTCTGGGTCTATTATTCATAACCTAATGAACGAGACACCTGAAAAATAGGCAGCTTATTTAGAGCTTTCCCCTTTACTTCAACCTCACTTATTATCAGAAGCCTAGAGCTCACAGGTAGGCCTTCCCTTACAGGCTTTTACTCCAAAGCCTTAATTAACAAACTGCTAACACACTGTATACCAATTTCTGAGCCCTATTATTTACTCTTGCTGCTACTTCCCTAGCAGCTGCCTATAGTGTTCAAATTATTTTCTTCACCTGTCTAGCACAACCTCATTTTTCAACACTAATTCTAATGAATGAAAATCATCCTCTCCTAATCGATTCTATTAAACACCTTTCAATCAGAAGCATTTTCACTAGATGTTTTACTTCCAACAAGATTACCCCAACAACTATGCCCTATGACCTAAAATGAGCAGCTCTCCCTGTAGCTGTTTCAGGTTTTATTCTAGCACTTGAACTTAACTTTGTAACACAAAACCTAAAATTTAATTCCCCTTTGCACCTGTATAAATTTTCCAACCTCTTCAGGGTTTTTCCTATTATTACTCACTGTCTGTCACCATTCATCAACATTTCAGCAAGCCAAAAAGCTAGCATCATTAATATTACATTTAATTTTGCTAGAAAACTTTATTCCAGAAACTACTTATCTTCAGATAAAAACTTCCACATTGGGACTTCCCTGGTGGTGCAGTGGTTAAGACTCCGTGCTCCCAATGCAGGGGTCTGGATTCGATTCCTGGTCAGGGAATTAGATCCTGTATGCAGGCCGCAGATAAGAGCTTGCATGCCACAACTAAGGAGCTGGCAAGCTTCAACTAAGGAGCCCACCTGCCGTAACTGAGACCCGGCACAACCAAATAAATAAATATTAAAAAAAAATTTCCACATCAATTTCAAACCAAAAACGTTTAATTTTCCTCTTTTTCCTTATTACACTAATGTTAAACTTACTTATTTTACTTTCGATGAATAACCTCCATAACAATAAAAATACTAAAAAATAAAGATCAACCACCTACCACCACTAATCATAGCTGTATCTGATACTATAGCTATTCCTATAGCTCCTATAGTATCTTCACTAAAAACCCAGGATCTCTAGTATCATAAATTACTCAATCTCCTATGCTATTAAAGTTAAATACCAATGCTATCTCATCATTCTTTACAACTCACAGAACTACTGAAACTTCTATTAGTAAGCCCAAAAGAAACACTCCTAAAACAACAGTAATAGAAACTCAAACCTCAGGGTATTCTTGAGTAGCTAAAGCTGTAGTATAACAAAAACCCACCAGTATCCCCTCCTTCTCTGTGCTTTCTGACAGCTGATAGTTGAAAAGTCAGGAGGCCTTGAGAAAGAAGGGTTTAGGAAAAATACTAACTTTAGAACCATCCACCCACCTATCTATCCACCTGACTATCCATCCATCCATCCATTCTTGCAACAACCTCTCTGCCCATCTTTCCATCTATCCAACCCCCATTAACAAATATTTATTGAGAATATACTATGTGCTCTCACTAGGGATACAGTGGTGAACAAAACAGACATCAGATAAATCTGGGCTGGTGTCATAACTCAGCCACTTAATACAACTGTGTTACTTTGTGAAGTTACATGTTCTCCTGAGCTTCTGTCTTCATCTGTAAATTTGGGATTCTAACTATGCTTCACAGTGAAAAAGGTTAGAAGAAACACTACTCATACTGAAAACAGTACAGTGGCAAGAGCATAGTCGGTGCTCTTTGGGTTTTGGCAGTTCCATATCTCCCCAAAGACTCCTGCCTCCCATCCAGATGCCACACAGGACAGCACTTCTGCATGATTGCCACCCATGGCAGCAACAAGGTCCTCTAGAGTGACGTGTGTCTGGATACGGAGCTGAGGCCTGATAAGAGTTGGTGGCATGTCTTAATGCTTACCGGTCCCTGAAGAACAGGAGCTCCTTTCCCAGCATTGTCACAGCATCAAAGGCTGAGCTGGAGTCACAGAGGTCGGGGATAGAAGGATTATGAGGGGGGCTGTGGGGCACAGCGGGCTTCCCTGGGAACGTCTTCCGAGGTCCTAGGATTCAAAGCAACTTGGTCAAAATGGTACCAGGAGTGTAGAGTCTGTGCACTTCTGCTCCAGGGACCTGCTTTCACTGTATATGACAAGGTAATAAAGAGCATGGCTGTCGATGACAGGCAGACCTGGGTTTGAATCCCGGCTTCATTAGTTGCTGACTTGTGTGATACAGGTGAACCTCTCTAAGCCTCCGTTTCCTCATAGTAAAATGGGGCAATAATGGTACCTACCTCAGAAGGTTTTTGTGAGAATTAAATAATGCCTGAAAAGCACTTAGTGGAGTGCTGGGCATATAATAAAAGTTCCCAAAATGGTAACTATTATTTCATTACTATGCATAATTTCTTTGATAGCTATGGGTGTTTCAAATTAGGAATCTATTTTGAAAATTGCCTCTGATTTTTTTCTTTTTGATGATTAAGTACTCTTGTTCTCAATAAGATTATAACTTTCTTGTGTGTTTTCTTATTATTTTCAAACAACTTCTGGGTGTCCTTCCCTGTGCACAAGCCTTTTCTTAGGCACCCAGAAGAGACTGAGCAAATTCCTGGGGCACTAAAGTACCTTGGAAGTGTTTGCCATTTAAAGTGATCTTCTGGTGGACACTCTTGGAATGTAGGACCCGCCCTTTGGGAGAGGTACTGGTGAGTTTTCATCCCCCATTCTGTTCCTGAGGACTGTCTGCCAGCTACAGAAGAGTAAGCTGGGGCTGCCTGAGCCACTGCCCCTCGCAGGTCTCTGTGCTTGATGGAGTCTTGTTGTGACCAGAGCTGAGGATCAGGGAAGGAGTGAGGCACAGGGAAGGGTCCACTAAGAGTGAGAGATGGGTGAGATCAGGGTGGAGGAGGGTCAGCAATGGGGCGAAGATCTGAGGTGGGGTGCAGCTTTGGGAAAAGATCAGAAACTGGAAATTGGTCAGATCAGAAGTGTGCTGCCAGGCACTCTACCAAAGATCAGGGTGCTCAGGTGGTCAGGGGAGGCTGATGTGTGTGCTTCTTGGCAATATAAAACCATGTTTCTGCATTTTGTTCACCTGTGTAAAAATGGCCACGTCAAAATATATGCTGCAGCTCCTGGCCGAGTAAGAGTGGCCATCAGATGGCGGTGACTCTAGTGCACAAGGACCCATAAAGGGCAGGCATGGATTTGGAGTGGGTTCTTCTTGGTGGCCACAGGAAGTGTTTCACATTGGAGTCCTAGGGCCAAATGTGTTATATGGAGAGATTCACAGTATTTTTTCTTCCTGTCAATCAAGGCCGGAGCAGGACTGCCATATACCCCTCTCTGAAGGGATACAGCTGGCCGAACACTTTTGGGGATGCAATTTGTCTTTTATGCCTCAGGTAAAATCTGACTGCCCATTTCTGTGTGCCCATTTCTGACTGCCCAAATCTGTGTGCCCATTTCTAAGCAGCGGATGGGCTGGCTGGCATGCAGGAAACATGGGCGAGCTGGGCTCTACAGACCCTTTTCTAGGCTGAGAGGAAGAAGAGGGACTCCTATAACTAAAGCCTGAATAACCAGGCTCTGAGGCTTAAGGAAAAGTCAGTTTCCTAGATTCTTCAGCTTTTATCCATCAAACACAAAAAAATGTCAAGGTCTAATGATGTTTCAAGATTTCATCTCATGGATTAACAGATTTTTCTTTCTGTTAAGCAAAATTGGATATAGAGTTCCTAATAATCCTTTATTACCTTTGAAAGAATGTTAACGCTTGAGATCATTTTGAATATTTTGGGATAGTTACTGTCTTTGAGCCTCAGCTTTCTCAACTATCGAATAAGGAAAACATTTCACACCCCACAGGCTGATCCTGAGGATGGTATGGAGGTGACTCATATGAACGTGATTTACAAACTGAAGATTGCCTATATGACCGAATGGTACAGTTATTACCATCATCATTGCTATTTTTAGGAAGATAAGGTCACTTATCTGCAAATGGATAAGCATGATATACATGAACTATAAAAAATATCCATCCTCTCCCAATGTCTGACTCCTGATCGACACTCAAAATACACACAAATGATTGTATTTTCTATGGCCATCAAGGGACCAATATGCTCTGGAGGAAAGATGTAAAATTTAATTGTACATCTTACAAAAGAAAGCAATACTCATATCTGATAAATAAGCTCTTCATAAGAGGGCATAGCTGGGGCTGTGGTTTCTAGCTTAATCTTCACTTATGTAGGTAACTTCTGACAAAGTATACTTTCTTTAAGTTGGAGACCAAATGCCTGTCACTTTCAGGGTTTGTGGTCAAAAAAAGTGTAGTGATTGTACCGTACAGTGCCTGGATCCCCTTCACATCATCCTTGGGAAGGTGGAGTCCATAGGGATGCTGATACTTATAAGTTGGGTACATCAGTGCTGATGGGTCTGTGGAATGGGCCAGGCCCAGTGCGTGGCCAAATTCATGAGCAGCAACGGTGAATAAATTGAAACCTAGACAATATGAGAGAGGAAAAGGCCGCATCAGCACAAGGTTTTATGTTCAACGTTTCCTGTCTTCACAGGAGAATTTATGCCCAAATCACAGTTTATTCATTTTCTTTTCATAACTGGGTTATTCAAAGGTTGTTAGGTTGTCCTGGCACTTAACTTTGCTGACTTTAGTCCAGTTCTCCCCACCTTGGCTAGGAAGGGCTTGGGGGTGGGAGAAGATGGAAATGTAAATCAGTTCATTTTGTTCATTGTCAATGGTGCTCAGTAGATTGATAAAGAAGGGCCTTAGAGCTAACAGTGGCAATAATACCTAGATTTAGGCCACAGATGCCTTACTAGTTCCCTGCCTACTCCCTTTTATCCACACAAGTTTCACACTGAAGATTTCCACATGACATGCATGATGTTCTAGAACTTTTATACCCATCCCCATCGTACTTCTCAGGAAAGTACTGACTCCCCTCAGGTCATTTCTGAATATAGCCTATTTCCAAGTACAAGTAAGAATCAAAAAATATTATGTAGTTGAAGAAAAATTGAGCTGTGTGTTGAGTAGGGGATTGCTGCTTCTTGAGATTATACACTATGAAGCAGAGATCAGAAAAGTCTACAGCACATTGGAGGGTGGATCTTTTTCCCTTACGGTGTTCCCTTTTGGATTTTTGGCTTACTTGTTTTTCCTAGCCAGCCCCCCTAGTTAAAGGGTGGCTTGGGACGTTGAACCTCAAGGTTTCATGATGGAGGCCCAGAAGAAGGTACAATATTTTCCAGGTTATGGTGAATTGTGCATATATACCATTCGTTCCCATAGTCCACTTCTCAGCATTGTCGAAATGTGTATCTCCTCCCAGGCCTTCTCCAGGTGCAAATGCATGGGCTAGAGTCCCCCGAGGCCCATCGAATGGATAGGAATCCCCGTGATCTAAACAAGTGGGGAGAAACACCAACAGGATTTAGTCTTTCTAGCAATTTTTGAAGGGTACCTAATATCACAGTGAACAGAAAACTTTTTCAATAGCATTGACACTTCTCATATAAATAGGTTTACTTTTCAATATTCATTCTTTATAAGAAGAAGCTCACATGCCAATGAGTAACCTATCCATTAAAAAAATAAAAGGGATATTTTGTATTTTAAAGATAGTAAGCATTAAAAATAAAAAATGTTCTTTTGATATTGTATTTGTTGCAATGTCTATTAATTGGCACAAGGCATACTGTAGACTATGACCATGCCACAGATTACAAAAGGAGAAAGAGCGGATGGTCATTCAATCACAACCTCGTCCACTGACTGGAATGTGAACATGTTGGCAGAGTGCTTTCAATGTATGATTCAGGGTTAGGTGGGGAGGAATAAATTAGGAGTTTGGGATTAAATATACACACTACTATATATAAAATATAACCAACAAGGACCTACCGTATAGCACAGGGAACTATACTCAATATTTTGTAATAACCTATAAGGGAAAAGAATCTGAAAAAGAATGTATATATCCATATATATATATATATATATACACACACACACACACACACACACATATATATAACTGAATCACTTTGTTGTACACCTAAAACTAACACAACATTGTAAATCAACTATACTTCAATAAAAAATAAGATTAATAAGAAAAACAAAAAACCAAACAAAAATCTGATTTGACTAAGACAATTATAGTAAATTGGACAAGTGTGTGCTTTCTGTTTCTAGAGCACAATATAATTTAAGGAAGCATCAAAAAAAGAAAAAGAAAATTTCTCTGTAATTTTGATATACTTTCATGCATAAAATTCATGAAAGCAATAAAGGTGTTTATAAAATTACAACTTTCAAAGCTTAATATTCTTTTGTATTATTATCTACATTTAATTAAAAGTTCATTACAAATATAACAGAAAAGGAGGAAGAATAAAACGAGAGATATTATAGAAACTACATTTCACAGTTTTTCAGGATTTTCGTGAGCATACCTTGTTTTATTAAAAACCAACAAAACAAATTCTGGTGTGCCATTCCCCGGGTCTCAGTGCAGTGTTGTTTAATCAGATTACATGCCCTGAAGTCCTGGTTAAATGGCAGCACAGTCCCTAGTTAACTCTGTTTTAGGGAACAGAGCACAAGCTTGGAAGATCAAGAGACAGTCAGATGTTAACTCCATCACCTCCAGAGCTGCCCTGAGCCCACTGCCCTGCTAGTTCACTGTGGGGTGGCCTTGGTCCTCTGGGAGAACAGGATCTGCCATGGACCAGGCCACACCCAGGGCCACCTCTCAAGGGGTCACACTCAGGACTTACTTGATCTTCTCTCTCCTAGCTTCTAAGCATGTATTTCCCCAGTGACATCAGATTAAAATTAAGATAAGGACTGAAATAGGACACTTAGAAATGTTATCTGTGAAGGGGAAGAGGCAGTGATACTCACCTTGACTCTGAGGAAACTGAGAGGGGAAAGGAATTACATAGCCCTTCCATCATCTACTACTAGACATGCTTCTCTGAAAAGGGCTCCACTCCTCGCTGCGGGGAGTTGGGGGATGGAGAAGTGGGCAGGTTGGAGGCAGGCCTGGCGTCTCCAAAAGATGGTATGCAAGTGTGGACAAGACGGCAATGCCAGTCACTCTCCTAAACATTGCTGCACGGGAAAGCTGTCAGGGCTCCTGTGAAATTAATCCTCAGTGAGGATTCAAGGTGGGACATCCTTGGCTAATATGGGAGGGGGTATATGGCGATGGGCACCATCATGGGAATAGAATGAGGTCAGATGACCTTCTAGCCAATGGGAAAGTTAAATCTGACAGCATTTGTCCCTGATGGGGCAATACCACTATGAAAGCTGATTATGCTGAGTCCATTCTACAGCTCAGTCTACTGATGACAAGAAATGCTGAGAACTCCCCTGGTTTTATATTCTGGCCAGACAAAGATTGTGACTTTGCCATGACCTTGTCCTCTGCCCTTCACAACTGTGTGAAGGAGGATTGTGCTGATCACATGGATTAAATACTGTAGAAGGAAAAGTGTTGAAACATTTCTCCTCTGATTAGTAGACAAAATCTAAGAAGCACCACAGTACCTCCAGTTTCAAAAGATATCATAATATCTGCTTCTCCTGAGTTTATTCTGACAAAGCTCAGAGGGACGGCGCTACTCCAGGCCTGCAGGGCCATCTCCACTGCTTTGTCCACTTCTGCAGAAGTCATGGAAGGTGTGTATTTGGATATTCTGTGAAAACAGAAAGAACATGTTTTGCTTTCAGTAAGTGCTCCTACGTGAAGAAAGCAAGAATTACATCAAGGTTGTATTAAAAATAAAAATATTGAACATAAATCTACAACTTAGATTTTTTTCTCCAAAATAATAATTCTTATTTTGCTTTCATATTTGTTAAATTACTGAAACATGTTAAACAGTAAGAAAAATGAAGGAGAGAAATGAAAGAGTTGAGATAATCTGGTGCTGAAACAGTTTGGCTTTCATTGTTATTATATATCACTAACTTTAAAGAATAATACCTTGTGTAACTTTAAGAGTAGCCGGAAGTCCATTTTCCCTAAAGTGGTTTTAACTGAGAAGGGACCTCTTTCCCCAAAAGGTACTGAAAATTTTCAATTGTAAAAAATAAAAACACAGAGTTTTGAGGGTTTTCAAATTCTTGTTCACAGACCATCAGGATTTCCCCCAGGGCCATGGGGGAATGTTTTTTCTTAAAATAATATGTATCTTAAAGAGGAAGTGCTAGCTCCTCACAAGGATGCTCACTTGAACTGAAAAAGGCTTGAGTCTTTCATCAAGTCCTGGCCTGGCAATGACATCAGAAGGCAGAAAAGTACAGACCATTTTGGACAAACAGTGGGTGGAGACAGTTGGTGTTTTTCTAGGACATGCCATGCTGGAGGCCAGGGGCTGGGGGTTCTTGGCAGCATGTAAAGGAAGGGCGGGAGAAAGGAACCGCCACCCAGAACCTTGGACTCAGATGGAATCATGGGTGCAGAGTTAGAAGTGAATTCTGTGAGAGCCAATCTTGAAAGCAGACACCTAGCCAACTTTCTTTTTCTGCAGCTCCTAGTCCAGGCCCTTGCACATAGTAGGCACTTAGCAAACACTTGCTAAGTGGATGAACTAATGAATAAAAGCTAGTGTTTTTTAGGGCCTACTCAGTAGTTCTCAAAGTTTAGGACTTGTGATAACTACTTAGGAAACTTGTTAAACACACATGTTTGATCCAGAAATCTACATTTCACAAGTATTCTAGGTTATTCTGATGCAGGTGGTGCATTCTCAGCTAGAAACCAACAGTGGTTATCCTGGGGGCCCAAAAGGAAGGGACCATGTCCCACAGAGAGGATGGGAAATAGCTAAATCTCAGTAATGGAGAGGGAAGGATCAAGGAGATCTCTAACTCCAGGGACTGGGGCCAAGAGGAGGGAGGCAGGTGTCCGGGGGGAAACCAGAAGGACCCTTGAAGGGACCATTTAGTGTTTTCAGAATATGCCACGCCCACTGCATAATATGAAACTGTGATTTATCATGGCTCTGTGTAGTTGGTATCTCGAAGTTCGCTCACATTATAGACAAGCTATCCATTCCCACAGAGCTGCCTGTGTGTTGGGCTGGAGAAGACAGAGATGGAGAAGGGACGACACCAGAAAGGAAGAGCACATGGACAGAGGTCCTGACCCAGGGTCTGGAGACCGACACAGCAGCAGTGATGACAGCTAATGTTCTGTGAATACACACTACGTGCTGGACCTTGTTCTAGGCACTTTTAAATGTGGTACGCACTCTAACCCTCACAGCAACCTTCACAGATAATAGTAACACTCTACGTTTTATGACTAGTCAGGACTTGAGCCCAGTTCTTTACGACTCCAAAGCCTATGCACACAAGCACTATGCTATATTTTGTCTTTTGCCGTCCTTTGGGCTATGTTAAAAGGAGTTATTCTGAGATCCAGTAGCTATATAGACAGAGTACTAAGATAGTCTCTAGTTCCTTTTTGGGTGGGGTGGGGGAGAAGGAGAGTTGTTTGGGAGCAACTGGATGGGCAGTGTGGAGGGTGCTTTTGGGACTGCCCAAAATATTATCACAAGAATATTATACTTCTTTAAGTCCCAAATTAGCTTGATCTCTCCCCTTGTCTTTGCTGTGCATAATCACTGACTAAAATTCTATGATACAGTTTATTTTAAGAAATGACAGAAAAAACTTCATGAGTTTATATAAAATATTTCTGTCTTGCCCTTAATCATCTCATAATCTTTTGGGTGTTTAATTCCTTATAGGGTGTTTCTTCCCCAAATGCTTTGATTTTTGTGGAATTCTTACGCTGGAGCAGAGGCTAATAATTGTGTTCAGCACCACCTTAATGGACTCTTAGGCTCATAGCAACAGACAAGTGGCCTAGAGGAATCATCTGATCTCTCTTTGGGTTTGAGCCCCCATTTGATCACAGGGAATCACTGGTGTGCTGCTACAGTTTAACAACCAGTTCTATGACCAAAACTCCTCGTCTGTAGGGTTTGCTGATTTCCATACTGTAAGTACCCTCACTATGACTAATTTCAACAACCAACTTGCCATGAGTGAACATAAAGTTGGGAGGAGATGAGTCGTTGCACATCATTTCCATCATACAGATAAGAGATGTAAATGACCTCGTGAATATAGATAATAGTAAAATGTAGTATAATAATTAGGAAGCACCATGGACGGTCCAGTGGAGGAGGGTGGGCCAACCTGGGAAGGAGGCCTGTACTGGCCCCACAAATGGATGCAGGCTGAGGGGCTGGAATTCTGGCCTGAAAACCCAGAGTACAGTGAGGGTGTAGATTCTGGTTGGGTGAATGAGTCCTCTTGGATCATGCGGAATCCTTGTTCCACCTGGAACAGGAGGAATCCAGAGGATGGCCAGGTGGGGGCCAGGCTCAACTGTGGAGGTGGAGGGGGGGATAAGGTGGGAGATGGGAGAGCCTGGGGCTAGGGGCTGACTGGCTCCCGCTTTGCCTACAAGTCAGGCTCAGATGTCACTGGCCAGTCCCTGGGTGACTTGGTAGCTCCCTCCATGTGCTGCCACAGTTCTCTGCTTAGACCTGTAGTTTCACACTTCTCACCCGGAGCTGCGACTGTTTGTATGCGTGTCTCCCCCAAAGAAGAGGAAAGGTGATCTACTCACCTTTACATCTCCAAAACTGAGTGCCTATGGTAGACATTTAATAAATTGTCAATAAATTATTATTGGAATTAATAAAAAATTAATTTATTAGTAGGTGAGTTTATTTACTTCTGATTTAGAAGATTGTTTTAAGAAAACTGGTTGGTACCATCAGGTTATTAACCCTAGACTAGTTTATTTTTCTTTAGAGAAAAATGTGTTGTCTCTGATAAAATTGTAATGCCTAAAACGGCCAGCCATTATGATACTCTTGAGATCATATTTTCTAGTGAATTCTCCACTGTCATTTTCTAAAGATTAGACCTAAAAAGTTCTTATGCTCTCTTATGATTGTGATGAGTCATGATTTTTTTTTTTTTTTTTTTTTTTGCGGTACGCGGACCTCTCACCGTTGTGGCCTCTCCCGCCGCGGAGCAACAGGCTCCGGACGCGCAGGCTCAGCGGCCACGGCCCACGGGCGCAGCCGCTCCGCGGCATGCGGGATCCTCCCGGACCGGGGCACGAACCCGCGTCCCCTGCATCGGCAGGCGGACTCTCAACCGCTGCGCCACCAGGGAAGCCCGAGTCATGATTTTTATACAGATCAGAAGGAAGATATTTTTAAATGAAAAGAAAGAAGGAGAGAAAGGCTCTTTCTCTCTGAATTTGGAAAGACTCAATCTCATTACCTGTATGTCAAAGTATTTTTTTTCCATTTGGGTTCACCTGGGAAGAGGCGATAGTTTGCCACATCAGGAACTCCACAGCGAGGCCTCTTGATCACATCCATGGTGGCCCGGTCTAACTTCCCGGTGACTCGGAGGCCGAAGAAAGCCTGCAGCTCCTTAACGTTTTTAACCATGGAATTGCCTCCTCTTGCAATCATCTCACCAATCTGGTGCCCTCCTTTCTTTGTGTAATATTTGTCAAGGTATGCCTGAAATGGAGAGGCAGGCTGACATCCACAGCACAATCTCTGGACAACACTTATGCTCAGGTAAGACATGGACGGTATTCTTGATATGCTAAAGATAGTGTGCAGAGCATATTCCCACTTTTGAAAAAATTAGATATATTTGCGTAGATGAAGCTTAGACAGATATATGCCAAGTTATTAACAACAATTGTCTTTGGGCGGTGGGATTTTAGATTTTTTTATGTGCGTGCCTTTTATACTTTTTCTACAATGAATAGTTGTTTGAAGAGAAAAAAATAATGGAAGGAGAATAATGTGAACATTTTCCCCACGGACCATTTATTTGTCATTGAGGCCTTTACCAATCTGTAAAACAAAGACTCTCCTATTTTTCTAGTAAGCAGTTACTTGTGTCGTATTTTCATTACACATTATGCAAGATCAGAATGTTCTTAACTCTCTGCGGCTTTATATTGCAGCCTCTCATCTTATACAAAGGCAGCAGGTCAACCTGTTTCCCAGCTGAGACTTTTAATTAATTCAGGTGTGTTCAATACATGGGGTGCAAATTGTTTCCAAGGGGCATGTTTCCTAGGACTGGCTCTCTGCCCCTTGAAGCAAATGAAATTAGCCATAAATTATAAGGCTTTTACTTGTGCTTAAAGGCTTAAAACCCTAACGTACCACTCAAAACGCTCTGTATGACTTCTTGGGTGAAGTGAGTGAGACAGGGTCGTGAAAATGCAGGGTCAGAGCCTGCTGTTGGCCCAGGAATTTCACCCACCCAACTTATTTCAGGAAAACAAAAAGCAGCTAAATCTTTATATCTATATTTTATTAAATATAAAATTTTATATTTGTATATTATTATAAAGTACTTATTTGTTGTATATAAATAATATTATTTATATATTTTTGAAAAATATTTAATGGCATGGAGTAATGAAGTCAATATAATGGCAATATACTGAGAAAGGTAGAAGTAAAATATTTATACATAATTTCATAAATAAAATCGTATAATGTAAATAGATTATATTCATGTTTATTATATCTGTATATTAATATAATAATGTTAACATCTATATTAACACGTAAAACTAAGACATTAATGAAGACATTGATAATTAACATATATATAATTTATAATGAACATAAGTAACATAAATAATGGAAGGAAATAAGTCTGAATATTAATCTTGTTTATCTCTGGGTTTTAAAATTATGGGTGACAATTTATTCTTTATCCTTTCCTATATCCCAAAGTTTTCTGCTATGAACATGAACTGTAATTGTTAAGGAAAAAAAGAAAAGGAGTAAGACTCGCTCACTTGTTTGGACAAGGTGTTCTGTGTCCTTACTGTGGGGTCAACCAATCCTTACTCCTTGCCCTGCTTATGAGAGGAGCTCACTTCCCTGGTGGTCGTTCTTTGTAAAAATCTTACTGAGATGAGAACCCAAGAGGAGGAAAAGGGCGATGGAGCCCTGAAACAAAGGTGTAACTATTTGCTTTCATTTCCATGTCTGGTTAGGCCATTTTAAATCAACATTTTATGTTCCTGATCTTTTTGGCAGGATGACATCGATTCTCTGAGCCATTCTGTTTGCTCAAGCTGATGCTGTGATAACACGATGCTCATGGTAAGTCTGAATTACTCTCTTCAGAGGTGAGCTCTGTGCGGAAAGCCAGATGCTCCATATTTTCTGAGGCCGTTTTGATTTCAAATATTTTATTCCCTTGTTAGGTTATGTGTTACACTTACACTCTAAATTCTAATTTTGGTTTTATGAAATATGGTCATATAAGAAGATGCTTCTGATATATTAAGTGAAAAGAGGTTTACAACTGTTATTATAGTACAAGCCACCTTTGTAAACAGAAGTCTGTGCATATTAATACACACAGATATATAGTCCTAAACTAGGACTAGGATGAGGAAGTGGGTGGGGGGTTGCCAAATACTCAATGATCAAGAAAAGTAATGTTTAATGAAATATTTTTGGAAAAAATAAAAGTTAATGCATAAAATCTATGATGGACAAAATATCAACATTTTAAATAAAGACAGGGTCCAAGCTTGTGTCACTCCTTCATGTTAGTCCCAGCGCTGAGTCATAGAAAGGGTTTTGAAAAATGTAGACTAAGGGATTAACAGTGGTTATATTTTAGTGATGGAATTGAGAATAATTCATTTTTAGTTATATATGTTTTATATATATATTTTTCAAAATATGCTTAAGATGCTAGACCTGCAACTCAAAAGGTTTAAGGCAAGTCATAGTAAATAGGATTAAAACTATCTTTAATGAAGTAAAGATAAAATCAAAAACTATTTCTACTTAAAGAGACCACAAGGATTGGTTACTGCAGTGACACAGGTGAGTTGCTCCCTACTGGGTGCTCCCACGGAATGTGGTTCTCAGACTAGTGAACACCTGCCACCTTGTACCACAGTCTACCAGCTTCTCATCACTCTCACCTCTGGTTTCTCAGGTTGGGGATCGTGATGCCTTCACAGATATGGCCCTGGCCTGACCCAGTTCTAGGTGCAGAGTAGATGTTCAGTTACCATTTGAGCTATTTTTCTTTAGATAAAATATAGAAAATATGCTTCTTTGAAGAATTATCAAGCTCTCTGAAGTACAGAGAGCCCAAATTATTCTGTACACTTTCTTGCCAAAGTTATTGATGAGGTTTTAGCATACTTTTCAGAGTCAAAATGTTCAGTTAGGCACAAAGATGCCCACTTAGAGCTGTGTTTGTGTTCTATTCTAACACTTGTGTGCTGTTGGCTCAACACCTAATTGTGGGCCTGGGTCAAAGATTTCAGGACTCACCAGAATTGTCCTGCGTGCCTCCCCACCCTCCGTACTCCCCCATTGTTGAAACCACAGGAGTCTAGGGTTGGCAATATGGTGGTCCCCTCTCTGTGTCTCCAACAATATTTGACAGATAAGAATAGCAGAGGCCTTGAGGGCAGTCCCAGAAGCTAGTGGCCCAGGTCCCCCTCCCAACTCTTCTTTCAGTGCACTTTCCTAGTGTCCTTCCTGAGAGTGAAGAGCTTAAAGTTCAGATTTAAGTGTGCTTCAGGACAAGGTGAAGTTCAAGATGCGGTTCTTCAATATTTCTTTCTGTTTTGGCTAAGTCACAGGAATGGAACTGTAGGAACTTTTTGTTTTGTGACAAATCCTAGGTTCTAAAAATCTTGGGCAATTCCTTTTGGTGTCAGGTTTCTCGTCTATAACATGGGGTTGGTGTCTATCCTACTCACACCAGTATGAGGATCCAATGGGATCCTTAGTGTGAAAATACTTTGATATGTATCAAAAGACTTTAAAATGTATATACCTTTTTACTCATTAATTACACTTCTGGAAATCTATCCTGAAAAAAATAATCCTTTAGATTAGGCTGATGTACAAAAATGTTCATAGAAACATTATTCATATGGAAATATTCCATGTATCCAACAAAGGAAATGGCTAAATAAATTATAACTCACTTATATTCTGAAATATTTGTAACTTTATAACATGACCTTTATGAACATAGTATAAAATCAAAATTTTATTGTGTTATAATAATAAGAAAGGTAGGAACCAAATTTTGAGTGTAATGACAATTAAAAAAAATCTTTATGCACAGAAAGTAAAATGGTAGTAAAAGTACCTGAATTTAACAGTTTGTATTTGGAAGGTTTTTTGTTTATTTTCTTTAATTATAAGCTCATAATAATGTGATAATAAAATCTTATATTATTTTAAGGACAATTTAACAGCCTGTATTAAATGTTGTATTGATATTATTATTTAAAAAAAAACAAACAAAAAGTAGAATAAAACTCTGGATTATGAGACTAAGTATTTCATCATTTTCCAAGCCTTTATGATAATTAGCCAATCAGAATTTAAAAGATACAAGTGGGCATTAAATCAACTAAAAACCTGTTTATCTTTTCAAGCATAGATTATCGTGTTCATGGGTTTAGGAAGAAGCGAATAGTATTTGGAAACGTTTCCTGCCTCGAGTTTCCAGGCACAGGAAACCATTTGTTGTCTCTTAGTGAGATCTAGAAAGAAGAGAGTAGTGTAGAAGGGGCTTAACCTGACCTGGACCCCCAGGCCCCAGGTGTATGCTGGCCTGGCCTGACTCTGGGACTCAGCCAGTATCTTCTTGCCACGGTAGCCCGATGCTCCAATCCAAGCTCTTTCAGTCCCCGGCTGCTGCACTCGCTCTTTTCTCTGCCTGGACTGCTCTGTCTCCAGATCTTCACACGACTGTGAAGTTCAGGTTCACATAGCTCTTTATCTCAAATATCACTTCCTCAGAGAATCCTTCCTGGACTACTCAAGTGAAAATGCCCCCCAGGGTCCCAGTAACTCGCTATCATCCTAATTTATTTTTTAATATCACTTGGGGACTTATTGATTGACTTGTTTGTCTCCTCCCAGCATCTTCCCACTCCTCCATCATCCCCATGCCAGCGCCATAAGAACAGGGACTTGACTTGTTTTGTTCACTGATGTTTGTCCAGTGCTTAGAACAGGTCCTGGCACATAGCATACAGTAAACTTTCAATAAATAATTGCTGAATGAATGAACTTAAGCTATTTTTATGAAATAAGTCTATTTTCATGTCATTTCATTTGTTGTATTGTAAGGCTGCCTAAGTTGTTAAATATTTCTATAAACTATAAGATGGGACAGTAATTCTTTCTAGGCACTGGGATCCGCTTGAGAGGTTTGCCCTGATCATTCCAGCTTGCTGCCATGGCCTCAGTATGACCCTCCTTCTGGAGGTCCCAAAGCCTCTAGTTTCTGAATCAGGGTGGCATGAGGCTGGGTGATGGAAGATTACATTTGGGGAGAAGAGATTCAAAGCTTGGTGGCACCAGCAAAATACAATTTGAAATAGACCCCCAGTATTGTGAGGTATGTTATTTGGAATTTAGTTCGTCTGAAAGTGGGCTCAAGTCAAAGGAAGTTCAATTCAACAGGTCTGTGCTCGGCATCCACTGTGCTGTTTACATGCAGGGCTGATGTTCAAAATGTTTAACGACTGGTGTGGCAGGGGGATGGACCAATTAGAATGGAAGAGTGGTGTAAACAGTCAGTAGGGACACGCCGGTGTGTACAGGTGACAATCAGCTCTGCAACGTGTACCCAGGTGTAGCCTGGCAGGTAGGAAAGCAACCCTGAGGCAGGGTTGGCAATCACAGATGTGCTATCATTTTGACAGACACTTGAAACAAAGGCCCTGGTGCAAAAACATCTCACTTACACACCTTTCATGAATGTTGGAAATTCCTTCATTGAAGACTTGTTTCTTAAGGTTAAGGTTCGCCACTTCCCTTTAAATGTTAAAAACAAAACACTTGGAAGCAAATATACATTGAATCACTTTGAGTCACACTTAGCCTTTGAAGAAATTCTGATATGTATTATTTTATCAGATCCTCTCCGACAGTCAGGAGAGATTTTAAAGGAGGGGAAGGTACAGAAATTGTAAGTAAATAAGGTACTTGGTGAATATGCTTTAGAGAGGAGAGACCCTCACATGAGAAGCAGGTAGCTACCCAGCAAAAACTTGGTTCACTTCCATTTTTTTTTTTTTTTTGTGGTACACGGGCCTCTCAGTGTTGTGGCCTCTCCTGTTGTGGAGCACAGTCTCCGGACGCGCAGGCTCAGTGGCCGTGGCTCACAGGCCTAGCCGCTCCGCGGCATGTGGGATCTTCCTGGACTGGGGCACGAACCCATGTCCCCTGCATCAGCAGGCGGACTCTCAACCACTGCGCCACCAGGGAAGCCCGGTTCACTTCAAATTTTGATCAAGTTTGCCCTGAGTACAAGAGCCATTTTTCTAAAAAGTGAACACAGGAAATCTTTCTGTTGCGACTGTTAGGAATCTTAGCACTAAGTTTCCGACCCACCTCTACTGTGCAAATCTTACACTTTGATTTTTATTTTTCTGCCCTTATTTTTCCTCCTACGTTGCTCCTCAAATACTTCTTTTGTCTTTTTTTGTAATGCATGTATTTTTGCTAGCCGCCTCAAATTCTGTGTGCAGCAAGATACCTGGATAGACATTCATTCATTTATTTATGCAATCATGCAACACAGGCACTCAGTGTGTACTAGACACCAGCCTTAGCTGTACAGGGGATCATATCCATTAGACTTTAGTGGACTTAGAAGATGATTTCAAAGCCATAACAGATTTTCCTTATTTTCTCATTATCCCCTTTAGGTTTTCTGGGGCAGGAGGGGGAAGAGGGAATTGTGCAAAGATTCACAAACCTGTGCGAGGTGGTAGCTGTTCCTTGAGGTCCTGGGGGTGGCTGCAAATAGGGAGGGGGCTGCAGTGGAAAACTTCAGAGCCGTGACGAGGAGGACAGCAAGGCCAGATGCAGGGAGCACCTTCATCTCCTCCTGGTGGCTTGGTAATTATAGCAGCCCGGGGGATGGCAGACAGTGCACGTTTGCACTTCGACCTTGAGCTGCTTTTATAGAGTCAAACAGGTCTGGGCCCTCAGAGCAAGGATGATTCATGTCTCAAAAGGTAATTATACAGCTCCTTTCTCCACTGATGACAGGGTAACACAGTAGTGCACAGGAGTCAGGGAACCTTCACTCTTTGCAATGTACCAAGTGGCAAAACGAGAAAAACAGTCACTTTTAATGCAGTTTTCAGCTACTTACATGAATTGGAGTAAACGTGATTAATTTGAACCCACATCAACTGAAACATTTGATGAGTCTCAGTTTGGGGCTTTTCCATTCTGCTGGCAGAGAAGGTAAATGAGTCGAATATACTTTAACTTGTCCTCTACCTCTGGGCTCCCCACACATCTACCCCATTCACCTTCTTCTGTATCCACTTGGACATTTCTCAGAAACAAATGCTCTTTATAATGATGGTTCTGGGACACGTAAGATCCTGAATCATCAAGGAAGCATTACATTATACCATGCTGACTTAGGGTGGAAGGTGCACTGGTACTTGTTAGAAAGCTTTTGAATAAGTTAACATAAGAGAGATGTTCTTCATTAACCGAAACCATCAATTCCCCATTCTCTGTGCACTCTGGTTAACTGGAGTCATACTCTTGTTCCTGGCTCTGATTTGGATGGATCCTGATTTAGAGATAGCATGGAGAAATGGTGTTGTATGGTGGAAAAAGTACTTTGGCATCAGACAAACTGAGATTAAATTTTGTTTAAGATACTTCCTAGCTGGGTGACTTTGGGCAAGTTATGTAACCTCTCTGAACATCATTTTTTTTTTTAATCTGCAAAAGACTGACAGTAATACTGTGTGTAAGCCCCTCATGTTACAGAGGTAGCATAGCATGTGACATGGTGTCTGTGGGTGTCACTTGCATCCAGCAGACCTGGGTTCAAGTCTTAGTTCTGACACTTGTCCATACGACTGAGCAGGTTACTTAATCTCTTTCAGCTGTGGTAATTTTGCCTGAAAAATAGGGGAAAAGGTACCTACTTTGAAGAATTGTCATAAAGGGGTAAATCAGATCATAACAAAGCCCTCAGCAGAGTGCTCAGTAGATGTCAGCTCTTACAGAATAATGTTCAATTTATCTTTTTACTTTATTACCAGGCACCAGGTAGGCTTTTTTTAAAAATGAATTAATTGTTCTTAAATTATTTCACTCTGAAGTTTTTTTTTTTAATTTTTGAAATTTATTTAATTAATTAATTAATTTATGGCTGTGTTGGGTCTTCGTTGCTATGCGTGGGCTTTCTCTAGTTGCGGCGATCAGGGGCTACTCTTCGTCGTGGTGTGCAGGCTTCTCATTGCAGCGGCTTCTCGTTGCAGAGTACGGGCTCTAGGTGTGCGGGCTTCAGTAGTTGTGGCATGCGGGCTCAGTAGTTATGGCTCGCAGGCTCTAGAGCGCAGGCTCAGTAGTTGTGGCGCACGGGCTTAAGTGCTCTGCAGCATGTGGGATCCTCCGTGGCATGTGGGATCTTCCCGGACCGGGGCTTGAACCCATGTCCCCTGCATTGGCAAGCAGATTCTTAACCACTGCACCACCAGGGAAGTCCCACCGGGTAGGCTTTTAATTAATGTTTTTTGAATGGATGAGTGGATGACTCAATGATTCTCAAAGTGTAGTTCCTGGACTAGCAACATTACTATTACCAGGAAACCTGTTGGAAATACAAATTCTCAGGCCCCACCCAGACTTACTGGATCAGAAACTGTGGGAATGGGGCCCAGCAGATGCATTTAAACAAGCCTTCCAGGTCATTCTGATGCATGCTAAAGTTGGAAAACCACTGGAGTAGATGAGTAAACAGGATTATGAAGTATGGGATGAAACGAAAATATATACAAAGTGCCAAGAACATCCTGGTCACAGAAAGTATTCAGTATTGCCCTTGCCATCTACAGCAGTGTGTCTTAGTGGTGACATACCTGGTATTTAAAGTCATTTGTGAAGTCTGTTGCAAATAATTTAATACTATTATTTGTTAAATGATAAAAATACGTAAATGTCTTACTTTCGCACTTAGGCTAGGTTCAAAGTTATTACTATAGTGATCTCTCTCTCTCTTGCTCTGTTTGCATGCTGACACATTTTCCTGCATGAAGAGAAAACAGTGGGGTTATGGCCATGTATGGTGTCTAGTGAATAACCCCAGGTACTCAACGAGAGTTTGTCACACATGTGAACATCATCTCTGTTATATGCTGTGAGGCACACAAAACATGATCCTCAGAAGAAAAAAGAAAGAAAACCACAGATCTAGTAGACTAATTCAACTAACTGAATTATAAGTTCCTTGGAGAATGAATGATATAAAAGTCACGTAAGTTTGTTTTATAAATGAATGAATGAATGTACAAACATATACTCATTGTCTCTTTTTGGTCTAAGTAAAGGAAAATACTATGACAACAATCTTTCAAAATTTGCATTTATATGTTCTCCTGTCCTCTGCAGTGCTACTACTACACTTTCACAGCAGCTGCCACAATTGAAAAACAGAGAATGAGTCCTTGAAATTTCCCTCTATTTGATCATCTCATTCCCCCAATTTCTCCCCAAACCACTGTTGCAATTCATCATGATGGCCCCAATGCAGGCAGGGAGTGAAGAAACGATAGCAAGAAATTCTCGGACCTATAGAGAGAAAATACTCTCACCTCCAGAACTCCAAAGAATTTGCTAAGTCCCAATTTTGGAAGTAGACTGAAGTAAATAACTGCTTATAAGGTATGATCTAGATATTTCTAGAAGATTCCAGTATCCACTCTTCAATTGCATGAAATCAATCCCAATATTCCCAAGTATGACACTTTGATTGTTAAGCGCAAAAACTGAAGAGGAGTAGCAATTTATGTTCTTATAAGTCATTTACACATTAATGTGAGTAGGTACTACCTCAAGGCCAGTGCTAGGCAATACCTTTGACACTTCCAAAGTGACAAACTCAAGCTGGTAATTTCTCACTAGGTGTTTTTTTGTCCTGACTTTCTCTCTTCACAGGGGAGCAAAAGTTTCCTTTCTTTCTATCATTCTTGTGTCAAATCTAAACTAAATCCAAATCATTCTAACCTAAAAAGATCATATCAAAGCAAGTCAATGACTAAAAGGGAATGGAATGAGAGCCCGTATCACAGAGAAATGTGGAAAGCATAGCATCTGTAGAAAAATCAGATTATAAAAATAATACACATGAAACAGGAGGTTGGTAGCCTCTGGGCAGGGTTGATGTTTTGGGGTCCTGCAGACTTTGTAGAACTTTACACAGAACTAAAGTTTCCATGTACCACTAATGTAAGAGGATAAGCATTTTAAATTACAGAATCAAGTTTACTGCAAAGAACTGCTTTTCTCTAGGCCCTAGCTGAATTTGATTCCATAGGGGTTTTAGTAAATCCTCAACATTGAAGTTGCTGAGATGGTGCCTGCTGTGCATGTTATGCATTGATGAATAATTGTTGAATAAATTACTGATTGCCCAGTTGACTTATTAAAGGGCTCTGTATTTAGACAGACCTAGAATTAAATATTGACTTGGTCACTTTCTAGATATATTACTAGTCAGTGTTATTATGTTTTAAGCTATGAAAACAAGTTTTGGATAATTTAAGAGAAAACATTTTTTTTTAAAAGGATATCAGGTAGCTTAGAGAACTGCCAGGAAGCCTGGAGCATCAGGCTGGAAGAACCAGCAGGACTAAGGGCAGAAGAAACCAGAGCCAAGGAATGATCAGTTGTGGGACCCTTGTCTCTTACTACTGGACAATGTTCCAGATGGACAGTCAAGGCTACTGCTGCTCTTGTTTCTATGTCTTTTTCTCACTCCCTCAGCATTCAGAGTCTTTAATGAGAAATTCTATTGGTTGGGCCTGGGTCATGTGCCCTCACCCTGATGTCCAGAGGCAAGAAGCAGGCCTCCATACTAAGAGGCAGTACAGCTTCCATAGAGACCACCAATTATATATAGATAAATAAATAAATAAATAAATAAATATGAGATGGGAATATCCCCCAGAGAGAAAATTGGTGCTGGGCAACCGAAGAACAAATCAAAACCAAACCCAGAAAATGTCTACCACAATCTGTGAAACCTCCTAAACTACTCCTGCATTGTCAAATGGTGTGGGGGCGAGGTGGGGATAATACCTATGTCAAGGGATGTTGAGAGGATTAAATGGATGCTTAGTGTTCAGTCCAGTTCATAAATAGGAGACTACAGAATTGCTTTTTGCCATGATTTTCAAAAATTCCACAGAAATATTGTGAAGGATTAATAAAAAATGAATATATGACATTTTCTTACTTCTAAGATACCATCGGCTATTGAATTGACAATTGATTAAAATAGCAGTTGTGTGGAAAAAATAAAGCATTACATCATTAAATGTATACACTGACATGCTATATATTGTTCAAGTGTGTTTTGTCTGTCTTTCACTTCTAGAATGTAAGCTCCATAAGGATAAGGACTCTATCTTTCGTCTGCAGCAATATCCCTAGTGCATAAAACAGTGCCTGGTACAAAATAGGTTTTCAATAAACAGCTGTTGAATAAATGAATGTATGAATGAGTAACTGATTGAATGATTAAAGTTAGGAATAAGAAAAATAAGATTGCCCTTAGGGAGAGAAATTTTTCCTTAATCCATGTAATGAATCAAACAAAGGTGTGTAGCATTACCCTAAGGTATGGAAATTTTTATTAAACCCTTATTATATGCCAGACATTGAGCCAAGCACCTTATGTACATTTTCCACACAACTATAGAACACCTCATTTTACAAATGAAGAAACTTGGGCTTAGGTAAGGTGAATAATTAGTTGAACGGCATGTAGATATTAAGTGGTAGCTCCATGATTTTAACCCAAATCTGTCAGAGCTCAAAAATCTGTGTTCTTGACAGTTACAGGAATAC